CATTCTATGATTCTATGATTAAAAGGCAAAGCAGAATTTTGAAGCTTTTTCAAAAATACGTTATTAGCTATAGTAACTGAACATTTGACATGCATTCTGCTACCTGTTTTGAGATAAAATTCTGGTACTACTGAATGTGTGCTGTACAACATGAAAGTAGCGCTTTGCTTATTTTACCTCTGGCCAGAGAAGAAAAGCATCTTGTCTGCGGTGGCTTGCCTCATAGTCTGCTGCTGTTAACAATAGTATTTTCTGTATAAACTGTATTGTGATGTACATGGATTTGGCTTTGTATTTCAGGCCAATTTCAAGGAATCCTACATGGCTTCTTTTTATGACTATTTTAATGAGCAGAAATATGCAGATGCAGTAAAAAATGTAAGTACTGTGTGTGAATGTTCTGAAAATCCTGCTGTGTCATTGAAGCTGGTGCTTGGAATCCTAGAATGTAATACGCACTTTGTAAACCAGGAAACGTGTGCTGGACAAAGCAGACTCTTGATAACTGTAATATTCAAGAAACTTGTATCAAATTATGTTCATGTCAGCAGTAGAATCTCTTTGGATCTACTTCTTAATAGTTAGGTTGGATTAACAAGCTGCTGCTTAGAGCTTGAGACATGTGCATGCTTCATAGGATGCTGCGGATCTGTGATGAAAATCGCTTAGTCCAAAAGGAGGTGAAAGACACGTGTAATGCAGGAGAAGCACAAGCAGTGTTGGTCATCTGCAGTTTTTCTGCTTAAGAGCATTTGTGCTATTTTTGGTTTATAACCCAGGAAACTTCCCAGATTCCTCAAACTTCTGCTATTCCCTTCTGTTTAACTACTTTTACAATACTTTCTTGTAGCTCTGTGCTGTACAAACGTTAAAGGTTTTAATTTAGGTACTGTCATTTTTATCTGTGCTTTCTGTTCACCTTTTAGTTTCTAGATTTAATTTCATCTTCGGGAAGGAGAGATCACAAGAGCATAGAGCAACCCATATTGCTTAAAGAAGGGTAAGCATGCGTGTGCAACAAACCCCTCGATTTGTGTGCTTGCTACCATTCCTAAGGCAGCTATCTCTTTTTCCTCCATCCCTGTTCCATCCATGTGTTCAGAGAAGAATGCAGGAAGATTCTTGTGTTGCTGTTTCTATTCTCTGTGGCTTCTGTGGCTGATTTTAACATCTTTTCATTTGATTTAAACAATTTAAGTATGTTTAGAAATAAGTGGAGGGAAAAGAAGCCTGTGGAACTTCATTATCACAGCTAAGGCAAAATAAACGTTAATCAGCATTGTGTTAAAATCGAGTTGATTTCTTTTTCCTCAAACACCAGTGTACAAAAACTTTAAAATTCCACTGTAAAGGCAGATAGTGAATATCTTAGTGAGGGCAAAGCCTGCAAATGGAATTTGCTTTTGCTGCCCTGTGGTATCTGTATGCTAATCATTATAATGGCTATTTCGAGGAAAAGTTGTGATACACTTGGAACAGTTTTTAGTTTTAGTACCTTTCCTTTTTTTAGGAGCATGTTCCACATGCCGCATGAGTTCTAGATACTAAGTGTTAACATTTTTTGCGTGACAATACTGAGTTAAGACCATCTAACTGTACTGTGGAAACAGCTTTGAGCTGGGAAGGAGAAAGTAAAAAAATCCAAGTTCTTCCCGTCAGAGCTCAGTGAGCTGAACTGCTGCTTCAAAGTAAGCTTTCGTGGTAGCTCGAAGTCACGCAGAAATCAGGGGTTTGGTGAAAACATGGCTACCTCTTCCAGTTAACCTCTGCAGTTCACTTCACTTCTCTGATGAGCACCTGTCCCTAGAAGCAAGTTTGTTGATTTTAATTCTGTGCATTTATCATTCTTCTGGTTTTGAAAATAGATGTATCATTTGTAACATTTTCCCTCTAACTCTAAACCATTATTTTTTTTTCTGCTTCTGTCTTTCTTTTGCTCCTGTCTGATTTTTTTCTGTCTTTTCTTGCTCGGCCTGTGGCTGCTGTTGTAAGGACTCTTAAACTAACAGTAAAGAAAGTTGATGGTAATAGTTCATGCAGGTAAGATGGTAGGGGCAGTTGGTGCTTTGCTGTAGCTGCCGACTGACAGCATGTCCTTCCTTCGCAGCAATAGGCTTGTCCGACTTAACTTTGGGGAGGAACTACTCTGTTGAACAATCCTGAAATGCCCGTGTAAACTCTGCAGAGAACGCTTTGTTAATGTATTTCTGGATGTTGACCAAATATTTTTATTTCTGGTGCTGTCCCCTCCCCCCTCCCATCCCCTTAGAACAAAAACCTGCTGTAAATAGAGAATAAAGGACTTTGATCTGTAGGCAGAGGCTCCAAGAAGCACTGAGATCAGTGAACTCACTGGAAGTGATTAAGGAGTGGCCATACATTTTCTAGACACTTCTTAAGTAGCATTCACATAAACTGTCCTCAAGGTTAAGGAGTGGCCTTCAGCTGTCTGTTTTTCCTGATATTTTGCATTATTGCCATGTTGTATCACAGGGAGTAGGTGGGAATTTTCACAGCCTTTGATTTGGTTCTTCTCCAGATTGATTGGCTGGTTACTGGGGTTTCTGTTTGCCTTTGCAATGTTTTTGTTTGCTTTTGATTTTTTAATCTTTCTTTGCTTCTGTTAAGAGTATCTAGATGGAAAGCTGTAGCATATGTGCTTCTGAATGAACGTACAGTACCAAAGATTAGGCACTGGCACGTGGGTTTGCTGGCATTGATCATGCCACCGCTGCTTCACTGCTGACTGCCTGGTTCTTTCCAAAAGAAAGAGAATTAAAAGGAAAACCAGTCCTGCTTTTCTCATAGGTGAAAGGGGCGAGGCTAAGGCAGATCCAAACTTGGGTCTGCCATAAGAGGGTGGTGAGGCACTGGAACAGGTTGCCCAGAGAAACTGTGGATGCCCCATCCCTGGAAGTGTTCAAGGCCAGGCTGGATGAGGCTTTGAGCAACCTGGTCTAGTGGAAGATGTCCCTGCCCATGGCAGGGGGGTTGGAACTAGATGGTCTTTAAGGTCCCTTCCAACCCAAACCGTTCTATGATTCTATGATAACCATGAGAAGAAACAGTATCTCCAACCACCCAGCACTGAAATGGGTTTCCTCTTAGTCTTTTTTCCCCCTTATGCATCTGGCTATTTGCTCTGACTTCTCATACATTCTGCAAATGTTAGAAACAAATCCTTTTAATGGACATTATAACTTGTGTGGGTTTGCATGCTTGTCACCTGTCTGTGGGAAATAAAAGCACATTCTGCTCTTGGCTATGTCAGCTGTGAAGCATTTAATTAGAAATGTGCTCTTAGTTCTGCAGTATGGAGTTTGCATTTTGCAAAGGGGGAGACTCTGTAGGAGATTGCAGTTTTAAGTCACCTTTCAAGTGTTGGCATGATAAGGAAGGGAAACTAACCTGGAAGAGCATATTCTTCAGCCCAAGGATATTTGTTCTTCCCTTGAAATGCCTTAACCTTGAAATAGGAAGACTACCACCAGTGGGCTTGGTGATGACCTGAATCATAGGGTTTTATTAAATATTTCTCTAGTGAGCCAAGAATAAAGACCGAGACAGTAACTGTCTGACCATTTTAAGAATGGGAGAGGTGTGTAACTATAGCTGGGTTTAAAAAAAAATCTGTTGCTGTACACAGTCCATGTCAGCTTTTGCCCACACAACTTGGAATGGGCAGTAGGTGCACCAGCCCAGCTGGCTGCAAAGCAGTTAAAGTCTGAAGGAACCTGGGCTTCTGTTTGAGCTTTAAACAGACTTGAAGCTCCGTTGGGTGCCACGTCGTTGTTTCTGACTGAAGGGATCAGAAACAAGAAACAGTATTAGCTGCTCTAAGCGTTTTAGCTTTGCTATTGAAAATCTTCAGTGAAACAATTTGCTGTTCTCTCTGTGTGCTCTTTGTGCTGTATAGTGCCTTCCTACTTGATAAAAACTGCTCTGTAGTAAGTAGTTTTTACTGGCTCCCCTATCCGGTTCTGTATTTGGCACAATAGTTAACGTAACGTGTAGAGTAGCTGTTATCAACTCTCTGCTGCATATGCATACGCATTTTTTTCCACCTAAAGTGGTGTCGAGCAGTGTGAAGTCACTAGGCTTTCCAAAGTCACCTTGGAGCTTTTGGATTGATTTAGTGGTTAGGAAGGTGGTGAAGCTTACAGTTTCTTGTAAGCTACCTCAAGTTGGAAATTAATTAAAACTGGCAACTCACTAAATGAATGCCCCACCTCTGCCAAAAAAAAAGGGGGATATGGGGGGTTCTAACTTCCAGCTGTCAGATTGCTTTGTGTGTTACTGAAAACACGTTTCCAGCTGCAGCGTCAATGTGCAATTGCAAGCGGAGCTGTGGAACATCCTGGTTTTGTTTCTAGAGCTTGAGAGTGGCTGAAGCATGTCACGGTGCAGTCCCTGCGCTCCAGAGGCCTTAAACCTGCCTTTGAGTTATTAAACGTACTCTAAACCTTTTAAAAAACAGCTTAAAAAAAATAATAAAAAAAGCTTGTAGAGTTAACAGGTTAAGCTTAGCAGGGCAGTACCGTGTTCTGCTCTTCTGCTGCTGTAGTAGGATACCATTTAGCTGGATTTGTAACTGAGGAAAGGGCACAAGCTGTGGTTCAGCTAACTAACTAGAGCCTCTATGTAGACTACAAGTCAAGCTACGCGTCTTGCCCCTTACCTACGTCTGGAAAAAGGACAGGCCTAACTAACAAATGCACTAAACCTATCCAAATGTGACTTACCTTTCCTTGCCAAGACAAGGCCTCAGTAATTAGAAAACACTGTGTGTCCCCTACTAAGGCTACACAAGTGCCCTCGTGTATGTCTCTGTGTGTATATATATGTATATATGTATAAATCCATATACATAAATACATAATTTATATGTATGCATATACTTATATGCATGTATATATAAAATCTGGTGTATTGTAACAACTGTTGTCCTGTTTACTAGGTTCATGATCAAGAGAGCACAAGGAAGAAAACGATTTGGTATGAAAAACTTCAAGAAGAGATGGTTTCGTCTGACAAACCATGAGTTTACCTATCAGAAAAGCAAAGGTTTGCCAGTCTTTTTTGATACATTAAAGCAAAGATTAAACATAAGGATTTGTGTAAGAACAGAAGACTGAGATCTAGATCTGTGTAGAAGGCACAGTGCAGGCGAGTCTGTCAACCCGTGTGTTCTTGCCCTTTTTTTTAGCGTGTCTGTACTGACTGTTAGAGAAGCTAACAAGCTATCCAAGAGGATAGCACAGGACCCTATACATCAGCAGAGTATTTGATAATATTTGTCTAATATCCATTATCAACATCATCTGTAGCTTTCACAGTTACGTAGTAGATTGTCCAAGGAAGCAAAACTCAGGATACAAATACCATACACTGGGATTTGGGTTTTGTAACGAACACTCTCAGATGCATCTCAGCGTGTTCTCATAAATTCTGTAGCATTGGCACAACTGTCTGCAGTAGGCAGGGATTTGCCTGCGAGCTTTGAACTTGCAAAAATGTCTTCACGTTGCCTGATACTGAAGATTTTACCTTTCACAAATTGTTCCTGTCTGTTCAGTAGTACACAACAAATGCCACTTCCTTCCGTCGTATAAATACACAGGGAGTGAGAAAGATAGGAAACATGTTCGGATCATGCCAGTCTTCATTTCACACTCAGCTTTGAGATCTTACATCACCACCATCAACCTAGTTCGGTTCAGCTGACAGGAATGATTTCTTTCATTGTCACCTTCTCACGAGATACAACTGCATCCTGCTGCAGTAGTCAGTTTCTGAGAGGTTTCCTAGCATAACAAAGTGCAGCTGAAAACAGAAATGAACTTGAAGTAATACTTGAGGACCATGCTAGTAAATCCCTGCAGAGTGAAAGATTTTTTTTTTTTCTTGTGCAGTCAAAATTATCTTCAAAGGAACTGAATCGGTCCTTAGACTAAGGGCAGAGGCTGAAGCTGAGTTGTGAGTAAATTGCTCATCAGTATCGCTCTGTGTGTATTCTGCAGGTGATCACCCTCTGTGTAGCATTCCAATTGAAAACATTCTGGCAGTGGAAAGACTGGAGGAGGAATCCTTTAAAATGAAAAATGTAAGTAGGTCATCTTCATCAATTTACTTGTTAGGCTGGTCTAGATCCACCAGCCTAATCGCCTTTTTCCCTTTTGTAACCTGGATTGGGTTTCTATTGAAAGATGTACAACCACAGCTGCTTGGTCTGTATATAGTAGCAGGAGTTTCCAAAAGTACAGCCCATTCAGATTCTTAACAGCCCAGTCAGCAGTCTTTGGGTGTCGTGATCTGCAGCACACTCAGTACTGACCACTGCTGACCAGCTGTCTGGGCTCTGTAATGTCAGCCACAGGTAAGATAATCGAGTCCCTGCCCTTTCTGTCAGACCTCTCTGTGGGGAAGGAACCGGCTGCATATGGTTGTGAAGGATCACGTCTTCCTTCTTAGCTATCAGGGTTTCTGTATTGGTTAATAAAAGTGCAAGTATGTTTGCGTTGGGTCATGTGCCCAAACAACATCTGTGCTGTGCCAATATGGTTTAGCAGTTCGATTGCCACATTAGGGAATAAAATATAGCTGTACTTCTCATGCACGGAACACTACTGCCAGCTTCTGAATGCTAGACATAACATCCATTTGTCTAAGAACAGTGCTTAGACATGATCAGTTCGGTTGATGTTGGGAGCCTTTTTCATACTCTTCTGTCTGTAAAGCTCAGTACATTCCTTGAAAAATTTTATTTAAAAGTAAAGAAAAAACCCAGGTCGGTGTTTTCCAGTTTTAAATATACTACAGATTTCTTTATACACAGGAAGGGTTGTGACTTTTGGCTTTTCTGCCTTTAAACCTTTCCTGCCATCTACGTTGCTTATGGACATTATGCAGCTCAGTGCTCAAACCTGCCCTAGATATTCGTTTCCTCCAACAGCACTTTGTTAAAGGGAAATACAGTGCTTGATTCCTCAGTATTTTCCCTGTTTCAGGTATTACTTTGGTAGCATCTCTTTCTGTTAAAAGGTGGAATAAGTTTTCAGTTCGCTTGCTTCTAGAGCACGTCTTCCTTGTATTGTATCTGGCTCTGGTGATTATAACTTGTGTTAATTACAGAGGCAAAAGCAACCAAGCTGCAAAATAGTTTTCAAGCTATCAGAAGGTGGCTGTAATGTGGTGAACTGTTGCCAACTGTACTCTGCAAAATAACTTGATTGAACTAAAAGTAGCCACACAGTTGAGATAAAATTTACTGTGTGTGAAGAGGAGCTGAAATATAATTCTGATCAGCTTTTCAGTGACAGCAGTCTTTAACTTATGCTGAGTCTACTGGGCTAGAATGCATCCAAAATATCCCTGTATTGTGAAGATTTATTATAGGAAAAATATCCCTTTATTGTTAACATCAGAAACCTTGGGCTATTTTGGTTGCTTAAATTTGTTATTACCTGGGAAATGAAAGTGACTACATCCATTCTGGAAAATAAGGTTCAGAGTCTTTCCATAAGCAGTAGAAAATGCCATTATCACCTTCCCATGCTAATATGTTACCATTTATCTTGCCATCCATAAATAGAGTACTGCGGCAAGAACAGAATTCTCAAACCACTGCAGCGGATGCATTTGCAATGCATACTCCATCATGGGTACTAAGTGTGATTAAAGATCCACATTTTCTATAAATACTCTCTACGTATCTCTGCTCTGAATTACACTAAGTGTATCTCACTCCTGAGAATTCCACGTGTCTGGCAGTGAGGCCTGTAGCCTTCACCTTCCTTAAGCACAGTTTGGGAGGTGTGGGGCTGGCTTTAAGTACTGTCCAAGTCTTCTGTGTTGTTTCAGAAGCAACTGGTGGGTTTGGTGGTGTAAAGGTCTTACAACCACTTGAAATTCTTGGCTTAGTTGTGGGCTTCTCAGTAACAGTTGCCATGTGTTAGTTCACTTAGGTTGGTATCCTCTTACACAAAGCCATACTCCTTAAATCTGTTCCTTTGTTGTAATGCAGAAGGCTCCGTTTACCCCAGGAGGACATTAAAATTCTTTTCCCTGTAGTTCTATGTTAAGGGAAGGTGGAGCTGCACACTTTTGTTTTCCTCCCTCCCTCCTTCCCTTGCCAGTTATGTCCTGAAAGGTTTTAAGAGGACTCTCTCTTTGGTGTGTATTTAGGCAGCACTGGACTGATCCACACTAGCAGCTCCTACACTGCTGTTGTGTGTTGTGCCTTACTAATTGTCTGACATCTGTAAGGATGCTAAATCCAGGGAAATGTCTGTTGGAGCTTTCCCTTTCCAGTTAGAAGAGACACTGTAGTTAAAAAAACCAGTTTGTTCTCCAATTATCAAGTATATTTGCAAGCTACTTTGATGGATGCTCACGGAAAAAGATGCCTGGTGCCAGTCTGACACATTCTGCTGACCAGCCAGGTGCAGAATTCAAGCCAATGCTTCAGGTCTTTGTAATAGACAAGAGTGAATTTCAGTTTTGGGGGGGGGGGGGGGGTTTGGTTTCTTGGCAGTTTTGGGGATTTTTTGGCACCTCTTTTTAAAGTAGTCTAGAAAAACCAGCTGTTTGGAAAATAACATTCTACATGATATGGGCAGTGTAGTGTCTAATGATTTGAATAATAAAATGAAGAAGCAGAAGGGTGAAGGATAATTTAGAAATACCTGAGAGAGAGAGGAAAACCCATTACAATTAAGTATTTTCAGAAAATAGTGGAAATTACGATGGTTGACATTTGTCTTTCCAAAATTTGAGGTTAACATAACAAACTTGAGCTTAGTTATCTTCAGTGCATGACCAGAATAATCAAGCAATGAGGCTGTGTGTGCATCAGAAACTTGCTTTTTCAAGAACAGGAAAATAAATGCAACGGTGCCATTTTAGGTTGCAAACTGTTTTGAACAGGCAGGAGAGCTCTAGTGCAGATTTTCGGCGCCTAAGCCGTAACGTGGAATTAGTGTAATTATTCGAACCACCCTATAGTGACTGAAGAGAAACTGTATTGCTGTGACTTGCTAATAGCAGGTAGAGTTGGGGGTGGAAGTGTGGGAGTTATTAAGACGAAGGAATCGAGCTGAAAGAGACTAAAGATATGGCAGTATTAAAGCAAAACTCTGGCTAAGGCTGGATTCAAACCCTTGTTTTTCTCTGTTCTGTCCCCTGCTCACTAGTGTTTCCTTTCAACCCTGCATTGGGTGCCTGTCAGCCTTCCAAAACCTCAAGCTGAAGCATTGCTAAAATTGAATCCCTGAGGCTGACAATAAATCTTGTTGAGGCCCAACCAGCAATTTGATATTAGCTGTTTGTAAATAATGTCCTGCAGGAACAGTATCTTACTTCTTGTACCAGGTGAAAGGGCTTGTTGTTTTACCGGCACATTTGCTGCTTGGTTTTGTGTTGAAATGGATTTATTGGTGCATTCTTTTAGTGCGCTGGTTTTCCCTTCAATAAATCACCAGTTTGAGCCCAGTCTTATGTTCACCAACCTGTCCTGGTGGTTTATTCTGTGGCTTTTTTCCTTCTTTGCAGATGTTTCAGGTGATCCAGCCTGAAAGAAGAGTCCTGTATATCCAAGCTAATAATTGTGTGGAAGCCAAGGATTGGATTGACATCCTCACCAAAGTTAGCCAATGCAACAAGAAGCGCCTCACGGTCTACCATCCCTCTGCCTATCTTAATGGCCACTGGCTTTGCTGTAAAGCTACTGCAGATAATACTCCCGGCTGCACACCCTGCACAGGGTAAGGATTGGGAACATGCTGTTGGTCTAGGTATCGCCAGGGATGCGTATGTCTCTGCAGCCTGCCTTGTAGGTACGCAGTTACCAAGATCTGCCAGGCGTGCAGGCCGCGGCCTGTTTTCAAAGGCCGTCTTTATTTTCATTCCTGATACTGTGTCAGTGTCTGCATATCTTGGTCAAAATGTTGACCTTTTTGGAGTTCAAGACACTGATAGGAGTTGACTGTGGGATAAGATACTTTGGTTTTGACCTGGTCTTAGCAGTAAACGTTTCAGAAATCCCTTCAACATCCTGTTTGTAAATTCATGAAACAGACAATTTAATGCTAAACTGATCTTTTTCCAAGGAACCCACTCATGCTCTCTGTTAAATGAAGAGATACTGTCTGGTTCATAGGAAACTTACTTTCATCTCAAAAGAGAGAAGCAGCAAGTCTGTAGTGGCAGTTAGTCTCCGAACATAGACCCGGACAGCTGGGAGTTCAGTGCTTTGGCTCCTCCTTCTGGTTACAGCAGACTGATTCTCCAAAATGTCTGGATACTGATACAGTCCTCTCTTTCAAGTCAGAGTGAAAGCGTGCTGCATAAATCTAGGCATAAAGAAATTTGAACTTGTGTATCTTTTCTTGTGGGAAAACCAGGAAGTTTCGAGCTCCTTTACATACAGTCTGTTGGCTTTCACAAGTACTCACTTGCATCCTTGTTAAGTGCTTTTTGTGCCGTAACATACTGTTCAGCATGTAACTTCTACCTCTCTTCCTGATGCCTTACAGAGGCCTTCCAGCAAATATACAACTGGATATAGATGGAGATAGAGAAACTGAGCGCATCTACTCTCTTTTCAACTTGTATATGCAGAAATTGGAGAAGATGCAAGGTGAGGATGAAAGATTGTTGCATCTCCAATACACTTAGCAAGGCAAAAATACTGTGCAAAATTGTATGTGGTAGCTAAACCAGCCTTGCAAATCACATCCTAAAACACAGAGGCCATTATTTAGCTTGTTTCCCCTTCTTCCCCTGCTGCTGTGAGGCAGTTGTGTGAATTATTTGTGGTGCAGTGTGCAGTCTCATAGTCCGTACATAGTTCTTTGCAGAATAAACAGTTATTGAAATAATACAGTCTTAACTATGGCATCCTAAAATAGTGTAAGCACAGAGCATTGCTTGGATGCTCTGAATTAACAAATCAGTGTGTGCCCTAAACCAGAAGTTTACTGATCCTGAAAAGAAGCTCTGGCAAAGTTGAGGTTTCAGTGGAACATGGTTTTGTGTTACCAGAAGTCATGTGCACATTCCCTGATTCAGATCCCAAGAACAAGCTGGATACGAATGGCTTCCTCAGGAATTAGCAGCGAAAGACAACCTTTCGATCTCTATGAAATGTTGAAAAGTGAAGTTTGCGCTAGGAATCCCTCAGCTGAGAGTAGCAGAGATGTGACATGAAGGATAAAAGAAAGAAGAGACAGCAGAGGAAGTTAGTACTGGTAGGCATGCCAAGAAAAGTATCCGGTGTACACGGTGCCAGACTTGAAATCCCAGTTTAGCACAGGGAGTGGCAGGGAAGCCTTCACTGTGGCACTGATCTTAAAATAGGACTTTATTTTATAATATGAGATAAGCCAGTGGTGTCACACACACAGATTGGAAAGCACTTTAATCCATTCCTGGCCGCCGTGCAACTGCAAACTTAAGATCCCCACCACTTCCGAGCTGCCTGAACCGATGCCCAGCTTTCCCCTCGAATCCTCACTACCAGGGCCAGCATCGCGTTTCAGTGGTGGGGCAGAGGACGCAGGTCTGGCGCAGACGCTGCGGCAAGGGGAAGGTAACTCGAAAGATGAGGTGGAGACAGCAGTAAAGCTAGAAAGCTAGGGAAAAAGAGAGACAAAGGGAGATTTTCCCTCTCCCTTTCTAATAGGCTTGGCTGCAATGCAGGGGATCACATGAGGAATTTGTTGCAAATGTTCGTGTGTAATCAGTGTCCCTGTCTCTTAGCCAGGAAAGGCTCCCTGGTAGGATAAGGAGGAGGTAGTATGACTTGCCCCTTCTTAGGATGTGTCCTCTGCTTACGCTCGTTGTATGCATCTTTTAGGGTTAATGTGGTCACTTTCCGTGATTACTTCAGCCTGTAATTGCGAATTCAGTCTGTTGTGCAGCACCGTCCTTGCCGCTTAGGGGTGGGAGCTGTCCCTCTGACAGCCCAGTACATGACTTTGTGCAGGCCAGCCCTGCAGCACAGTGGCAGAGAGAGGCCTGTGCCAGAGTTCCCAGTGCCATGGGGTACTGCTAGTGGTGGCTGAGATGAAAGCATTGCCCGTGCAGCAAAGGGCAGCTTCGCACCCAGCCAGGAGCAGCTGCCAGGCTTGCTGCCCTTTCCTTAGGAGACGAGGAGGAGGGAATGGGGGTGGGCCAGCCCTTGTGCCTACCAGCAGCCCAGCAAAAGGACAGGGAGCTACTCCTTCTGCTGTTGCTGTCAGCCCCAGTTCTGTGGTGGTTGTGGAAGCAAACGAATGAACTGTATGAACTCAGGACTGAGAGTTTTTAGTCTGCATGTCTTCCTTTTTTTTCCCCTGCCTATCTGATACCTATTCCGGTACTTTATTTTTTTCCCAGAGGCCTGTGGCAGCAAATCTGTGTATGACGGACCTGAGGAGGAAGAATATTCTACATTCATCATTGATGACCCTAAGGAGACATATAAAACACTAAAGCTGATTATTGAAGGTGTTGGAACGTTAGAGCAGGAGCATGCTCAATATAAGAGGGATAAGTTTAAGAAGACAAAATATGGAAGCCAGTAAGTATAATGGGTTGTCCAAACAGGGAAACAGTCCTGGGAAATGGTTATTTCCCTTGCTTATGTTCTGGCCTTGACCATATTCATACGCCAAAAAGGTCCTGCAGATAGATACGCAGTAAGATTGTGACTTAGGATTGATATCACAATGTATTCAAGGACTGTAAGGAATTTTTAAATACTTGAGTTTTTAATGGAGTTTCATTCATAAAAATCAGTGTGGGGGTTTGGGGTTTTTTTGAGGGGAAGGGGTCTTTTAAATTTTGAACCTGTGTTTGTGGAATGAGCAGTAAATACATGTAGTTACCAGCTTCTTTTAGAGGATTGGTTTAAAAATGGTGGCTGATACAGCCATGTGACTGTACTTTCTGTACCTGTAAATAAAGGAGCATTCTGCTCATGGCCGACAAAAAAAGGAATCAATTCAATTAGTCAGTTCTTCCAGTTCAGGTAAGATGCAGTATTATCTTTGCACCTTTGAGAATCAAACTGAGGGAAAAGGCTTGTCTGTTCACTTTCCGTTCTGACTTCTTGATGTCATGACAAAAAATTATGTTACAGTACTTTTCCCTATTTTTTTTTCTTTCCTTTTAGAGAACATCCCATTGGTGACAAGAGCTTCCAGACCTACATCAGGCAGCAGTCAGAGATCTCGGCACATTCCATTTGAAGTGCAAAGGAAAACGCAGGACAGTGCTGAAGGGTCGATCGGTGAAGCTAAACAGCAAAACAAAAGGGAAGCCACACATGTAGCAAAATGTATGGATAAGTGTCAAGCTTACAAACTTTGAGACTTGCTAAATGTATTCTCTTTTCAAGAAACTGTTGTAATAGTTGCTATGCACTTTATTCATCTGGTTATTGACAGATGATAAAACTCTGCCTTCTAGGCAGTTGTTGTCATGTGTATTTTTAAATGGCTTTGGTTTCTTGGAATCTAGTGATCAGTTCAATGATCAAGGTGTGTGGACTTCATCTTGACAACTCCAATGCAATTCCTTATGTTTCGGAAACCAAGCGTGCTGCTAATATGCAGCATTTTCTAGAATGGTTGTTTGTTACTGGTTTTTGTTCCTGATTAATGTATATTATGTCACATCCCTGCGTGCTCTCTTAGGAAAAGCTTAGTAACACTTTACTCCTAATGCCTGCATTTAGAAAAGAAGCAGAGAAAAAACGCTGTGGTGTAATCTCTTGCGTTGTAGCTTGTATTCTGAGCAGGCCAAGGAGCAGGCCTTTTCTTTCTACAGCAGCATAATTTTTGCTAAATGTGCACAGTTTTTTAATAGAAATTCAGATCTGAATGGTACTCTTGATATTTTTGAGATACAAAGTCATTTCTCCAGACACATTCAGCAGACTTTAGTTTTGAAGATGCAATCTCAGCGGAATAATAAAACTGACTCTCATAAATATGAGTAAGAAAGACATGAACTTCTGTCAAAGCTCCACGTCTCTTTTGTGCGGTGCAGTGAACGGTGATCCTTGAAAGTCTGCCAGCTGAAAGGCAAGGTAAGCGGATTTTGATGACCTTTTACCACCACAGCGAGAAGGACGAATCTAATATGAGTCTGGCAGCTGAGAGACGCTGACTCTCAGGCACAAAAGCCGTCAGGATGGGTTTTCTCTGGAAGGGGGTTTAAGCACTGGAGTCCATGCTGTCCTACCTAGTACCACTTGCTTTTCTGGAAAACATTTGTACTTTTCCAAAAGTGTTTTTAAATACTTTTTTTTAAAGAGACTTGTTAAAGGATATTTAGTATATTAACATGCATAGTGGTAACTTGTTAATGTTCTGAGTGTAGTGAAAATGGAATGAGCTGTGTATCTCGCTAGCACCAACAGAAGTCTTTAAGGAGGGGAGTAAAGATCTGCTAGAATTAAGATATGTATTTACGTATGCTGTTTAGTTGTACACCGTAACTTTCCTCTGTAGAAGGGTCTGATTTACAAACTAGCTTTGGTGGCACGGAAGCCTGCATGATGGACTTTAAGCTTCTGTGGGGTAGGAGCTAGTGTTGGTTTTAACCTGAATTGGAACAGAAGGCATTGAACTCTCAGTTTAATGTGAAGATATCTGTGTTTTGCTTAAAGTGTTACAGAGTAACTCTTAACTGTGTCCTCTTTGCATCTGACATGATTTAAGGTGGCAGAAATACTCTGAATGCCTCTGTTTGTTAGTGATGCTGTTAGGAATGAGGTTTTCTTTTTGAGTATATAGTAGACCACCTCCTAGTAGATGATAAATGGTCTTTTGTTCATCTTCACCCAGCAGACCAGGGAAAGGGAAGTAATGAAGCATTCATTGCAGAGATGCATTTTGGACTCGAAGCTTTTAGCTGCCATGAACTGCAATTTTTAACATGTATTTGTAACTTAATATTGTTTATAAAATACTAATGACCTGTAATGTGTTTTACCTGCCAATTAAAAGAAATGTTTTATTTCTGAAAACTGTGTGCGCTTCTGGAGTCTGTTTAGATTAATGGTGGTCGCCAGGGGTGCCTGCTGGCACAGCATTCGTTGTTCAGAGTTGGACCATGGATGGAAATCCTTGTGAGTGTAAACCAAACTCTCTTGGGGCTGCTTAGTCCCATCCTCACTCCTTCTCCTATCCTCACCCCTTTTTTTGGGTCAGCGTTACACCCGTGGGACTCGGTGGTGAACCAGATCGGGCACCTGAGCCAGCCACAAACTACTCCTGCAAAGGAAGCAGCTACCACTCAGCGAGATCAGCCTTCTGAACTGGTTCCTGGTGTTATTACACAGCTGCTGCTTGCAAGGGAGGGGCGAGTCCATGCTGAAAGGATGGGAGGCAGGAGTTGAGAGCACAGCACCCTGTGTGTACATTGGCTCGTGACCCTGTGGAACCCACCACAACCACTGTTCTGTGGCACATCCTTGGGCGCACTGAGGGTTGTGCAGGTCGACGTTTTCTGGAGCTTACCAGTCCTCTCTGGATACTCCTGCAGATTAAGCGTTGTGCGACAGGCTGCGCTCACTGGTTCTGTTGTGGGGGTGTTTGCAGGAAGGCTAAGGAACAGCCCCTCTGGTATGGGAAGCTGTTGGCCAGCTCATTGAGGAGCATGTTAGCCTTACTCGTGTTCGAGGTAACTCCCGCTGCTGCACCAGGTGTCTCTGTCGCCAGAACACAAGTTTCTGAGAAACCCCTGGAGAAGATCAGCTGCAGACACGCTCCAGTTGAGCAACAGTAGTGGTTTAACAGGTAAACCACAGCCAGGAAAGAAAACCCACCTAATGGGGGAAGAGATGTCACCTTCACCAAGAGTGTCTTGGTGAAGGTGAACTTGGCTGCCATCACTTACGTGTGTTTTTGCTGAGGAATTATAAACCCTCGTTTAAAAACAAACAAAGTTTTAAGTATGATGAGGTAGTAAACTGACACAGGTTTTGTAAGAGATGATCAGAGTTAAATGCAAAATTACTGTAACACTGTTCCCAGGTCTGTCTCTTTTCACTCAATCTCATTCAATATATACAGTCATTCTGTTTTCCTGCTAACAAGTCAATAGGAAATCTTTGAAAGCTGTTTTTCTAAAAGCATAACTTAATCAACAGGGTTAGTGAGGGTGTTAAAACTGGGCTTCCAGTACTTGCTTAGCCTCTGTCTCCTCTTTGTCTGCAGCATGTTTCTGATGTTGCCTTCAGAAATACTCAGCAAATCCTGCTCACGAGAGAGATGACTTGGTAGGGACACCTGGGACAGCATCCCTTATATCTGGAATGAAGAAAACATTCTAAGGAAAAAAAGCATAGCCATGATAAAGCAAGCACGTCAGGTGAGTTTTCTTTCCTTCTCTATCCCAGCCTGAAAAGCAAACACATTATTTTTGACAGAAAAGAAATTAGAAGCTGGGCTGTTGTCTCCTGTGACTCCCGATGCCAAAGAATCATAGAATCATAGAATGGTTTGGGCTGGAAGGGACCTTAAAGATCATCTAGTTCCAACCCCCCTGCCATGGGCAGGGACACCTTCCACTAGACCAGGTTGCTCAGAGCCACATCCAGCCTGGCCTTGAAGACAGCCAGGGATGGGGCATCCACAACATCTCTGGGCAACCTGTTCCAGTGCCTCACCACCCTCTCTGTGAAGAATTTCTTCCTGACATCTAATCTACCCTCCCTGATTTCAATTGGTACCCATTACCCCTTGTCCTATCACTACAGGCTCTTGTAAAAAGTCCTCTCTCAGCACCCTTGTAGGCCCCCTTCAGGTACTGGAAAGCTGCAATGAGGTCTCCTCGGAGCCTCCTCTTCTCCAGGCTGAACAAGCCCAGTTCTCGCAGCCTTTCGTCATAGGAGAGGTGCTCCAGCCCTCTGATCATCTTCGTGGCCTCCTCTGGACTCGCTCCAACCGGTCTATATCCTTCTGATGTTGCGGGCTCCACAGCTGGCCGCAGGACTCCAGGTGGGGTCTCACCAGAGCAGAGTAGAGGGGCAGAATCACCTCCCTCGACCTGCTGGCCACACTTCTCCTGATACAGCCCAGGATACGGGTGGCTTTCTGGGCTGCCAGCGCACACTGCTGGCTCATGTTCAGTTTTTCAGGGCTGGGCTGGCCTGGTGACAGGACCCACGTGGCCCTGGTTCGTGCCCATTCCAGCTCAAAGGAGGTGTTGCCTCTGCCAGGGAAACATCTTTGTGCGTGTCAGAAGTAAAGGGTTCAGATTGGGAGATTGGGCTGTGAACTGCGCACCCGAAGGCAAGTTTCCTGCTCGAGTTTCCTAAGGCAATGGATGGGAGTGGAGTCGACAGATAGAACCTTGTCACTTGTGTGTGTGTGTGTGTATTTTCTAGGTGGATGGAGTAGAGAGGGAGAGCAGCTGCTGCAGTGATGACAAGTCACTACTGGGGCCTCTCCGTGCTGTGGCTGTCGTGTCCGATGGGTTGCAGTCGGCTGTGCAGCAGGAGTGTCAAGCCATGTGCATGCCAGTGGTGTCTCAAAGCTCTATTGGCACCATTGGCACTTGATTCTTCACCCAGTAAGATTTTAATGAGATCTCTGTATGGATGAGAGGGTTGAAGAAGATGGTTCTTGCCTGGAAACTTTTCCATGTAAAAATGGCCAAATGGAAAGAAAGAAAGGCACAGCATGCCACAGGTGTGGCATGCCATTAATGCAAAGAGCACCCAGGGTGTGCCACACCTTTACAGGCTCATGGGAGTTGGCATCAGGGACTGCTGTCTGTAAAGTGTGAGAAATCAACAGCTTCCATCTGCACAAGAAGCTGATTTGGAGCTAAGGCACCTGGCTGTTCAATGCAGCTGTCTGAGGCACTTGAACATCCATGCAATTCCCACCTCCATCCCTTCTCTGCGGTACTCCACGCAGTTTCAAGGAGATCATTTCAATTTATAATCCTGTAAACCAGCTTATAAAGGGCTGTGTGAGAAGCTGGCCTGGCTGGCAGGAGAATGCTTGCACCCTGCCGGTCCCTGTTACTAGCTCCAGGCACAGCGTAGGGCAGCGTGCAGCCGGAGCCTGGGACTGATACTGGGTGGTGCTTGGAGATAAAAGTCGAAAGGCATCTTCCTGTGAGCCACTGTCTGTGTTCATTACAGCTGGAGACAGGGGCTAGCAGGCTGACTGGAGAAGACGTTGCTTTCTGGCTCTCAGCTAATGTCATTAAACAGTAAATTGATTCTTCCAAAGCTCACGGGGACTGAGCAAAAGACAAGGTTGTGAGACAAAAGCACTGTATTCCTGCGTACATAAGATCTGGAATCTGGACTGTGTAAGAAAAGACTAGAAGAAGCCATCTTGGAGCACATAGTTGTTGTAGGTTCCTAAAATAACCGAAGATAAAATAGGATCCTAGGTGATTGACCCTGAGTCCAGTGGCCAGCACGCCTAACTTCTGAACAAATCATACATGCCTTCCCATTTCAATTCCCATTTTTCATCTGCTGCTCCATTTGAGTCACAGTGATTTACCTCAAAATGTTCAAATCGTTGGATTTGTCATGTTTACGCAGAGGTGTTACTTTTAACCACAAAGTTACCTGGTGTTAGCAGGTTTGCCTGCAAAGGGAATGTGGATATGTTGATTAAACAAAAGGCTCACCAGCAGCCTGGGCTAAACATAAAGGTCATTTACGTGAAAAAGGGAAATCAGCTTTTTACTCATTTCAAAACGTTGCTCTGCTGAATCTCACCAAAAACATGTGTGTACTTGGCTGTACACAGTTCTGGTTAACATTGAGGGCAAATTCTCTCCACAAGCCTGGGGCCTGCATGCTCTCTAATTTTACTAAATTCACTCAACGCCTTAAGCTCAGTCACAGTTGTCACTGTTGCACTGTCCTGCCCTAAAGCTGCCAAAAGGAAATACGGGTTTTATTATACACTTGAGGCCACAACAGATGTACTACCTGGGCATGGACTCTTCTTATGCGAAAACAAGTCTTGATAGAGGTGACGGTGGCCAGGGTGGCCAACAGGTACCAGGGATGTGAATAACTTTATTTGGTTAAGAAAGGCACTTTGTTTAAGTAGCCATGTATTCTTCTGGGGGTGGAAACTGAAACTGTAGTCACTGTGTTTGTGCAGAGAAATCTGCTGATGAGAATAAAGGAAGCTAACTTTATGAGTTACAGGGGAAGAGAAAGGGAAATACTTGATGAAAACAGAAACTGTGTACAAAAAGACCACCCTGAAGCGCCCTGTGTTTTGCTTTCTTTAGCAAATTTCTCTGTGTTACAGCTCACCTTTAATTCCTACTTCTCATCCTCTCCAGAAGCCATCCTCTGGCAGCCAGGACATCCTATGCCCAGGATGGAAACGACTGGAGAAGCTCACTGCTGAAAAAAGCAACTGCAAAAATAGATGAGATCATCTGTGATGTCTGGAGATGCAAATGCTTCACCTCCTGCTGAGCCATGGTATGTTTTCTCTTCTGGTAAAGCCCCCTTAAAGAGATTCCTGCTCCCCAGCCCTGGCTGTGGTTCAGCATCCTATTCGTAGCACTGATGCAATTGAATCGGCGAAATAATTAGGACTTCTTAAAGGAGGGGGAGATTTTGGAAAAACCTGGACCATCTCCCTGACAAGGTTTACAGCAGTCGCAAACACTTGCATCAGCTCACCTGATGAGGTGGGGACAAGCCACCCCAGGCGGCTTTCCTACCCCAGCGAATGCATTTCCTAGCAATCCTCCAAACCCATTTGCTTCAGCACCATCCCACCTCATGCTCCCTGTTAAAACCACCAAGACACAGCACTGTCTGTGACGCCACTTCCTTCCGAAGCCAGTATTGCCTGCGCGTATGTCCCCTCCCTCAGAAATCCACTGGTGTTTAGGTGACACCCCTCTTTATCTTTTGCCTTATGTGTGTCCAGCCGGCTGCCCAAACATCCTCTTGTTCTTCCAGCATGAAAGCAAGAAATTCGGCTCCAAGATCTGGCTCTTCCTGCTGGCATAGGACCATGTTTC